AAATGGCTTGTATGGCTACTAGTAGTATGCCGATGGTCTGCACAGTTGTATTTGAGTGTGTTGCATAGTTTATTTGTTTTGACAGTATATCATAACGTATAGTGTATGAGAGTGACGTCGATTATACGACTAAATATGTTCTTGTGGAACTACTATGCCACCCGTACTGTTCTCGCATTTTAATGCAGTATCCAAGTTACATAAATAGTCAATGTGTTGGATTAGAGCAGAGAATTATTTAAAATTGTTTGAAGAGCAAATTCAAATATTCTTCTAGAAAACTTAGTGTTTTCACTTAGCTTTGTTAGGTCAGGTAAACCTGTGGTATGCAAATAATTAATGATATATCGTGCATGTTTTTGTTTTTTCAGCGAACTCAAAATTGACGAGCCGTCGCATGAAGAATGCCTGGAGCGTTTGTATGCTCGTCCAGTATGCAAACCAAAGAACAAAATAATCTATGTCAAAACACACAAAACTGCAAGTACTACCCTAGCTTCAATTCTGGAAAGATATGGTTATACAAGAAATCTAACAATTGCAGTACCAAATGGGAATCATGTATTTTCCAATACAGAATTGTTTAATAAAAAAATGGTTTCGAATTTTGCTGATATGAAGAACTATGACATGTTGACTAATCATGCACGATACAATCGCCGTAAACTTGACTCACTGATTCCAAATGCAACCTACATTACAATATTACGCCACCCAGTGCAACAGTTTGAATCAGCATTTGGATATTTTCAATGGGGTAGGTTCATTCCGGCAAAGGACCCAATCTCTGAATTCTTACGCAACCCGGAAAAATTCACCAATAAAATTCCTACAAATACTCGAAATGGACAGCTGTTTGACCTTGGCCTGAGCGCAACAAAGACACTAGATGCCGAGATAGTGAACGAGACATTACAAACCTTGCACAAAGAAATAGATGTTGTACTTATCACTGAATATTTTGACGAGTCTTTATTAATATTACGAGATCTACTATGTTGGTCTGTAAATGATATATTGTACATATCCAATGGAATACGGAGCGACAATCGACGTAGCAATCTGACATCAACTGATAAGGATAAAATACTAGAGTGGAATAAGTCAGATTTAAAGCTTTATCTGTATTTTAGGAAAGTATTGTTCAACGAAATACGTCATTACGGTCCGTGTTTTAAATATCATCTTCAGGAATTCCGTAAACTCCAAAACGAAACACTTGAGAAGTGCATTGAAATGGGACAATTCAAATACATTGAAGGAAAGGAATTCCGACATGTACTGAAGGAGAATGCTACGGAGTTTTGCAAAGATCTTTGGAAGGGTGATGTAACATTCACTAAATTAAACAGGATGCAACTTTGACAAGAGGTATTTTATCTGATATAGAACAATAGAACCATTTCTTTGCTGCTGTATATGTTGCATACTAGTATTGTGACACACAACAATTCTTATTGTCTGTGTTATGAACAATTCGAACACGCGATTGAGATTCGATTCTGTGATTATGATACAGATGTATTATTGTTTTGTGATGTAAATTAAAGTCTGTTAAAAAGATATGGTCATGACTGAAAAGTTCCATCCATATAGGTATAAGTATACGTGTAGTGGAAAAACCATCGTCCGCCTGCATGGTGTTGTTCCGTTCGAACATTCCTCCTTCCACAACACCGTGCGGTAATTCTATTCATAACCGTGTATATCACGTGTTTGCGCGATAGAAAGTTTACCGACTAATAGAAAGCTTTGTTACAATGACTACCAATAAGCACTTGGGGCTTTGAATTTCTGATGTCTTCGGCTTCATTTCTGGCGATATATGTTGAAGTTACACCATGAGATTTCAGGTATAACAGTGATAGGTATTTTTGATGTTTAAAAACCTTTCACTTAGGTAACCGGGATTCGATTGTTCTCCACGCTGGACTCACAAAAAACACAAACAAGCTCCATTCATGTTCGACCGATTCTCCGCTAGTCTCCAGCTTTTGCGCCCGAGACAGCATTAAATCACACTTTATTACTTGTCATTCCTTAACCAATTACAATCAATATAAGAGACTCCAAGGCCCTGCCTTCAAACAAACAACCAATCACATGAAAGTTTTACACATCATAATCAATTATCAAGCTATTAAGAAAACCACTATCATATTGTCAACGCCAACTAATATTTATGGGTTTAATAGTCTTGCAATAACATTCCACAACGATACCACATGAGTTAGAATCACAAACAAGATTGGTTTTGAATTACTATCCCCGTACCTCGTAATCTTTTAGAAAGTTGCCAACGCATGAGATTTCTCAGCTGATTTTGATTAGCTCGCCATCTGGCCTTATCATTAACCTTTATCAGTAGATGTCATGGCAACCACTATTAAGCTGACTGACCTCGTCATTTAACCCCTATCAGTAGATGTCATGGCAACCACTATTAAGCTGACTGACCTCGTCATTTAACCCCTATCAGTAGATGCCATGGCAACCACCATTAGGCTGAAATATAAATCATGACATAACACCTACTCTTCTATAATACTCAACAGTGGAAGTGGCGGATTTAGAGGGGGCCGCCCCTATTCTTAACAATCAAAAAAAAATATCAGCAAATTTCAATTTCAGCGTCGCAATCCGATCAACACGCCTGACCGTGCGTGGCTGCCATGCCAACCTAACAACACGTGACTCACCAACAAGACGCGTACAGCCATGGCAGATAAACGCAAACCACAGCAGCTCACGCTCTTCGATA